TGTTTACACATAGTTATTTCCAAAAATATTTCGACACAAGCGAAACAAGCATTAAACACGATGCAGAAAAAGTGTTATAAAACTGAAAAAAATTTTTAATAACATTTACAATAGAATTTCTAAACGACACATTGAGCGAAAGTGTAAAACTTTGAGATGCAAAAGTATAGGCGTTAATCTCCGGTAAATTCGCATTATTACGTAAAAAAAAAAAAAAAAAAATGCATTATCTCAAATTTCACCTCTCGCTTTAAAAGTCAAAAATCTTTCAATTTAGAGAACTTTTTCTTGTAATTGCAACCATTACATTCTCGGCAAATATAATCCTCGCTCGGAGCAACGTCGATAATATATGTCTTTATCAGACCCGGATCTTTAATAATTCTAATAAATCTGTATTAACGTCGCAACCGAATATAGCGATTTCACAAAATTTACGACACACAGGTGTGTGTGTGTGTGTGAACGGCGAGGAGAGAAATATAATTTGCAAGTAGCATCGGCAGGTACTTACGTACCGCGCGCACAGAGAGTGGCGGGCACAGAGTGACCGAGAGCTGGATCGAAAAAATACATAATCGAATTCTTTCGTTTCATAATTGCCTTTTAATTTCGATTTCCCTCTGTAATTCCCAAGTTTCCGTGCCTCTCGTCTGGTCATTCCTCATGTAACGGAAATACCTTCGATCGCGTTAATCGAAATGTATCATTATCCGATCGGGTACAGTACCTCCCCTCGCTAATACACACCTATATTTCTGTATACACGTCTCTCTCTCTCTCTCTCTGTGTACGTGTCGCGTCGTAAGTACCTACATTTTTTCTGAATCGATTTCCGTGTCGATTCTTTTAACGTACCGACAATTTAGCCGCGTTTTCTACATATACGAGGACAAGAACCCATCTGCGGTCGTTGCCAGAAAAAGAAAGTATAATTTTTATAATTTGTACTTATCGCCTTCATCCGCGGCGCCTTTTAAAGCGGCCAGATATCGTTTACGAACGTTCCAGAGTCGCGCGATGGGAAATAACGTGTAAAGTGGCGATCGATAGCTGAGCTCGCGGTGAAAGTGTTAACGCGAGCGCGAATATTCCGTCAATCAAACGGTGTTACGGATGAAAACCACTCTCCTCGTATTTGTTTTTTTACGATAAATGAAACGTGCCATTTGGAAATTGCACAAGATCGAGAGGATCGTTTATATATATATCGTTCGAAATATATCGATGAATCGTTATCTCGAGCGAATTCTGCCCCTTTTGAACATTGACAAAATTCTGACAGCTGCCTTGGGCTACATCTGTTCGAACTGTTAAAAAGGGTGGAGATCTTTCAGATTTTTTTCTGACTCTACCGTTCGATGGAACTTTCTCATTTTTTTACCATATTTGCGAAGCATATTGACAAAGTAAACGAAAAAGTTTGGTGCGAAAATGCAAATTTTCTTGGAAGTTATGGTCGTTGTCCTGGAGCTCCTCTCACGAAGATAACGTCTTGAAGAGCGAAATAAATTCGCGGCGATGAAAATCGCTTCAACTTGGCAATTTTACCGCGGAAATTTTTCACGTTGGTGTGCACGTATGCATAAGTCGCCACGTATACTTTATTGTTGCGAATTTAGCGCTAAAAAATACTTGCCACGAAAATTTCGCGTTGATCTAGAGATTCTTTGATCCTCGATCGTTTCGATAGAAAAAAACGTCCGTATCAGCGATGGATATCCTCGTCGAGAAGTTAATTTCACGCCTCAGGAGTATTTCGTGATTATCTCGGTTATTCGAGGAGTAAAGAGTTTCTTCGAGACGGTTTTTCGTATCGATTGGCTGTTTTCGTT